GAAGCTGCCGAGAGGTCGACGCAAGAGGCACAGCCGAGCCTGCCGCCCCAACCGAGGGTCCCCCACAAAGACCTCACCGATGACCCAGGATCCGACAGGGAGGAGGTGCACTGAGTTCAGCAGCGCACTCAAGCAGTGCACAAGCCACAGCTGCCTTGACAAGAAGAAGGGAACTGCACAAGCTGCGGGGAGAGTCATGAGAGGAGGACCTGCCATTTCCACCTTCAGGTGTCTTTTGAAAGTAAAATAGTTGTTTATTGCCTTGACATCACAGGGCAGGTGCCACTACCGAGAAGGCCCTCTGCCTGGTTCCCTGTAACCTCACTTCTCGCAGTGAGGGAACCGCCAGAAGGCACTCAGTGTCCGGGCTGGATGATGGGGGTGGAGACGCTCCTTCAGGTATACAAGACCAAGGCCATTTAGGGCCGTTTAGGGCTTTAAAGGTCAGCACCAACACTTTGAATTGCACTCAGAAATGTACTGGGAGCCAGTGCAGATCTCTCAGGACCGGTGTTATATAGTCTCAGCGGCCACTCCCAGTCACCAGTCTAGCTGCCGCATTCTGGATTAATTGCAGTTTCCGAGTCACCTTCAAAGGTAGCCCCACGTAGAGTGCATTGCAGTAGTCCAAGCAATATTTTCACCCAGGCTGCAGACCTTTATTGGGGAGCAGAGGCCCTTCAGAATTCAGACCCCCAGTTGGGCTGTAGGTCAGCCAGTGGGGTAAATGTGCCATCTGGCCGCAGCCTAAGATATCATAATGAGTGGATGCTTTTTGCACAATCTCCCACCAAGTCTTGCTCAAGGTGTGCAGTGGAGAAGTCAGCGAGGCACAACCTTATCTATCCTCATTCCTCCCAATGCAGAATGCTCCACTTCTGATTTCTGAGTCATCTTCTTTCTGCTTCCTTCTTTTATGATGAACGTCCACATATACGCATCCATTCGCCCTAGACCTCTTGTTGGTTTCTTCCTCAAGTTTCTTTTAGCAGAAGTAATGTCTGTGCTCCCCCTGCTGGCCTGATGAGGAATGACGTTGGTGTACATAGGACTGAAAAGATGAAACAGCGAAACCTTTAGCATATTAACTCGGGAAGAAATCTGGCTGTGTTCAGCAGGGCTTATGCTCAGGAAAGTGTGTGCAGGGTTGCAGCTCCAGGTGCCATTAGTTAAAGTTAAAGATAGGACCAAATTTTAGAATGAAATTTGGCTGTTTCAAAAAGTCCAAACTTGGAAGGATGCCACCGAGAAATTAAAATTTAAGCCTTGATGTATGTCCAGGCAATCACGTTTGGTAACAGTTTACCAAGAATGCTTCTAAAAAGCCCTTAAACCAAACAGTAAAGATAATTCAGAATGCCGAGGAGTATTGGTGCTCTAAAAAGTCACAGAATTTCAGCAGGAAGTTAGAGAGTACATGTTCAGCCCGGCCTTCTGGCGGTTCAGCTCCGAGGGCCTTCTGGCGGTTCCCTCATTGCGAGAAATGAAGTTACAGGGAACCAGGCAGAGGGCCTACTCGGTGGTGGCGCCCACCCTGTGGAACACCCTCCCATCAGATGTCAAGGAGATAAGCAATTATCTGACTTTTAGAAGACATCTGAAGGCAGCCCTGTTCAGGGAAGTTTTTAATGTTTGATGTTTTATCGAGTTTTTTATATTCTGTTGGGAGCCGCCCAGAGTGGCCGGGGAAACCCAGCCAGATGGATGGGGTATAAATAAATTATTATTATTATTATTATTATTATTATTATTATTATTATCTGTTTGACAGTGGAACAGACTCCCTCAGACTCCTTGAAGGTTTTTATAAACAGAGGGATTTCGACTAGAAGACCCTTGAGGTCCCTTCCAACTCTCCCATTCTATGATTCCTGGACTCAGCACATGCTCGGAGGCACCTGGGTTTCTCAATTCCTAGCCACAATTTTGCACCTTAGGGGGGGGGGACCCCAGGGTTACAGTAAAAATGAAAGACCAAGCCTGAGCCTTCCCTGAAAGCTCTTCCAGGCGACTTGCTCCAGTTATTGCCATTGGCCTTGTGCCCATCGCTCTGTGCACAGAGATCCATTTGCACCTCTTCTCCAGGCTGATGTGCACTTAGGCAACGCTGCTCCCGCGAGGTTATTAATAGGTTTCCCTGAACATTTCCTGCCTTGAGATGCTTCCTCCCCAACAGGCAGAGAAGGGCCTTGGGATTCTTCCTTCTCCTGGCTTACGGTTCACGTTGACCTTCCGTCTCAAGGTTGGTTCTTTCAAAGCTTGTAATGTGCAGCTCCAGTCATCTCAAGCAAGAACAGCTTTTCAACAGGAACTCATCAGCTGTAGGAGAGTCGCATTAGTCCAGCAGCAGCCCAGGAAGCAAATAAAATAAATAAATGGTGAGAGGAACATTGAGATATGTTCAGACTTCATATATGTGTGTTGTGTGTGTGCAGTGCACAGGTTACAGACCCTCTAAGTGTCCCTATTTTCCAGGGAGAGTCCCAGATTTACAGAAGCCGTCCTGGTTTCGGATTTGATCCCGGAATGTCCCGTTTTTCATAAGGACGTCCCTATTTTCATTGGAGAAATGTTGGAAGGTATGGAGTTATCTGACCCCCAAACCAAGGAGATAAGTAACTATACAACCTTTATCAGATGTCTGAAGGCAGGCCTGTATAGGCAAGTTTTTAAATGTGCAATGTTTTACAGTCATACCTCATGCTACGTCCTCTTCATGTTATGTTCTTTCAGATTACGTCCCGAGGCGACCTGGAAGTACCGGAAAGGGTTATTTCCAGGTTTCGCCGCTTGGGCATGCACAGAAGCATGAAATGATGTCACACCCATGCGCAGAAGCGGCGAATCGCAACCTGCATGTTCGCAGACGCGCCCCTGCGGGTTGCGCTCTTTTCATGTTGCAAACAGGCCTCCGGAACGGATCCCGTTCGCAACCAGAGGTACCACTGTACTGTTTGATATATGTTGGAAACTGCCCAGAGTGGCTGGGGCATTATTATTATTACATTATTATTATTATTATTATTATTATTATTATTATTATTATTATTAAATAGGACCTCCCTGTTTTCACCAGAGAAATGCTGGAGGGTATGAGGTTAATCCAGAATGGGTGGGAAATGGAAAACCCCAATTAATTAAGGACTCTGAGTCTGAAATTTTATATACAGTGGTACCTCAGGTTACATACGCTTCAGGTTACATAGGCTTCAGGTTACAGACTCCGGTAACCCAGAAATAGTGCTTCAGGTTAAGAACTTTGCTTCAGGATGAGAACAGAAATCGTGCTCCGGCGGTGCAGCGGCAGCAGGAGGCCCCATTAGCTAAAGTGGCGCTTCAGGTTAAGAACAGTTTCAGGTTAAGAATGGACCTCCAGAACGAATTAAGTACTTAACCCGAGGTACCACTGTATAGAGATTTCAGTAGAAGTGGATGTGAAAACAGCACTCCTGAGATTGTTATAGGTTCACTAAGGAAAAGGACATTTCCATGCAATCATTTATTGGCAAAGAAAGGAGACCCTGTGGGCGGACCTAAAACATTTCCAGATTCCATGCCCATGTAAACAAAGATCAGTGGTTCTGAATAAGTCATTTACAGTCATACCTCGGGTTGCAAACACTGCGGGTTGTGCGTTTTCGGGTTACGGACTGCGCCGAACCTGGAAGTACCAGAATGGGTTATTTCCGGGTTTCGGCGCTCGCGCATGTACAGGAGCACTAAATCACACTTTGCGCATGCGCAGAAGTGCTGAATTGCGTCACGCAGATGCGGCGCTGCGGGTTGCAAACGTGCCTCCCGCACAGATCACGTTCGCAACCCAAGGTATGACTGTATATTGTATATCTCTATTTAAAGTAGAGATTGCAATGATGGTGCTCTCCAAATTTTGATGGGCTACAGCTCCCATCACCTCTGACTGCTGGCCATGCTGGGAAGGGTTGATGGGAGTTGAAGTCAAACAGCATCGGTTTCTAAACCAACCAACCAACCAACCTCTTCCTCCATCCCCGTTCCACTCCCTAAAATGATAGACAACACTGACTAAATTAGGATCCTGCAATGCCTGGTAGAGTCGATCTTCAGATCAGGATAGAGCTGTGGTGGAAGAGAAAGCTTTTCAGATATTCCCATCTACAGCAGATTGTGATGCCCTGGCAGTCTGTGTTGCAGCAGCGACATTAGACACCACTACGCTTTTTTTAAAAAAAAGTATGTTTCGTTTGCTCTATATCTGCATTTAGCTGATAACTTTTGGTTCCTTAACAAGGAGCCAATAATTATGAAAATGACTTTTGGGGGCTGGATAAATCTGACTGGGGAAAATGACAGGGAGCCAAGTGATCTGAAACACAGTAGTAGGTTGTGACAAGAAAACATTCAGTAGCTGGGTGTTTCAGTCTAAATGGGGGCACAGAGTTCTCTGTCCTTCCCAGATGGAGAAATGGGAAATTTCAGAAGCAGCGTTCAACAGATGGCGCTCTCCCTCGTTCTTTCGCAACAACCTCTGAGATCCAAGCTTTCGTCAAGAAACCGGGGGAAATGGAGTTTGAAGTCTCAGACTGGAGGCAGGCAATTGAAATTAAAGAGATATGTATCATTGCACAAGGCGAACACATGTTTATTTGGGCCTGCGCTCACCACAAGCCAAACCGTGTGTGTGTGTGTGTGTGTGTGTGTGTGTGTGTACTCTCTCTCTCTCTCTCTCTCTCTCTCTCACACACACACACACACACACACACACACACAGAGTGCTTTTTTCTGGGGGGACATAGGGGTACGCATACCCCTAAACATTTTGTGAATCTTTGTACTTTTGTCCATTTACTGTATTTATTTTTCCCTATTTGAACAATAAAACGGTGATTTTCTTGAGTCAAAATGAGAGTACCCCTTAAACAGTTTTTTTTAAAAAAAATTGCACTCTGTGTGTGTATATATATATAAAATCAGTAACTCCATGAAACTGGGGGGTGGGGGGTGGCAGCGGGGAATGAAGCCAGGAAACATCACTAATTATTTTATTTTTTAACAGATTGCAAGCACAAACAAGACTGTGCAACCGAAACTAGAACTGCTACTGTCAAAACAGGACCCTGTTTTTTTTATTAAAAAAAAACAAATGCCACCACAACAAAAACAGTGGTTATTCCTTATGACGGAAGGTGAGAGGGATCCTTCCCCACCAACCTCACTCTGCCCTCAGCCTGCCTGTCTCCCTGCTTACAACCACTTCAGGTCCTTTGCCTGGCTGCCAACTTCCTGGCTGCTTAACCTCAGCCTTGCTCCCACCAAAGTACTGCATTTTTCGCTCCATAAGGTGCACCTGACCATAAGACGCACCTAGTTTTTAGAGGGGGAAAGCAAGGAAAAAATATTCTGCGCAGAGGATGTAAGCAGCACTCGCTTTTCTTGCTGTAAAGCGCTGTGACACCGGAGCAAGAAGAGGAGGAGGAGACACTGGGACAGGTGCTTTGCTTGCTTTACAGTGAGGCGGGAGGATGGTTGAGCAAGCAAAGTGAGAACTGCGTAAAGCGGGACAGAAGCCATGTAAGCAGCTCTCGCATTGCTTGCTCCCGTCTGTCCCTCCTCCTGCTTCACTGTGAAGCCAGCAGAGCAAACTGTGCACCTATCTCTCTCTCTGAAGCCAGCAGAGCAAGAGCGATAGCTGCTCAGCGGCTCTTGCTCTGTTGGCTTCACAGCGAGCGATGGACGGGGGCCATGGCTCTGGCTGTGGAGGCATCCCTCAGCTCGCGACTGCAGCGGTAGCCGAGGGATCCCTCTGCCGCCCAGTGCATTTGCTCCATAAGACATTTCCCCTTACTTTTTAGGAGGAAAAAAGTGTGTCTTATGGAGCGAAAAATATGGTAATCAGGGAGGAGACAAAACTAGCATCAGTTGCCTCCGCCTGCTTTTGTCTCTGGCTCCACCTGCTGCTGACCTCTTGGCTTTCCATCCCACCATCCCTAATGGGTACCAGCCTCCATGGATTCCTCTAGTCGCCAGCCATTTGTGTCTCCTAACAAGCCCATTGTCCTTCTTGGTTAGGCACCTGTAACCATCGTCCTCCTTAACAGCAGTGGCGTTGTCGCACCTCACCCCAAACTTGTGCGACTCCAGGGGTCCCAGGTGCTAACCCAGCCTTCGTGTTTCCTTCGGAACGAGGTACAGCAGGGACGGCGGTGCCTTTAGGATATACAGTTTATTTACACATATGTAAATACCAGCCGGGACGCAGATGGCGCTGTGGGTTAAACCACAGAGCATAGGACTTGCCGATCAGAAGGTCAGAGGTTCAAATCCCTGCAATGGGGTGAGCTCCCGTTACTCTGTCCCTGCTCCTGCCAACCTAGCAGTTCGAAAGCACGTCAAAGTGCAATTAGATAAATAGGTACTGCTCCGGCGGGAAGGTAAACGGTGTTTACATGCGCTGCTCTGGTTCGCCAGAAGCTGTATGCCGGCTCCCTCGGCCAATAAAGCGAGATGAGTGCTGCAACCCCAGAGTCGGTCACAACTGGACCTAATGGTCAGGGGTCCCTTTACCTTTACCTAAATACTAGCCAGTTAAGAGAGAGATGCCCACCCATTTGTCATCCGGCACATAGCCACTTCCTCTGTCACCTTAATGATCTGTACTTAGAGGGTCATTATCACACCACAAAGCTGTTAGAATTCCAGCTCCATGACTGCAGTCATGGGATTGTTGTCTATCACATGACGATATATGTTTTGACTCCACAGAGTGGGAAGTGACGGAGACAGGATCTTTGTGTTACTGTGTTCCGTGAAGTGGGGCTATTGTCCTTTGTTCTTTTTCTCTTTGCTGTCTGATGCTAGAGATAGAGGGAGCCATGTTGCAGTGCTCCGTGTGTGTTTATATGTAAATAAAGTAGATTAGCCAAAATGCTGAGTTGCTGAGGTCTGTTAAGCAAGCTGCGCAAACTCTGCAGATCCCTAAGTGTGCCGATATCTGTTGGCATCGGTCGCTGTGATGTTCGGGCTGAAGAAAGCTTTTGAAGCTCCCGAACGATCGACGAGGAGGGAGAGAACATGCCAGTCGGGCATGTGTCTCTACCAGGGTCCTACTCGAGTGTAGGCTGAGCTCGACAACAGCTAGCCTGGCTATTCCAGGATTTTGAATCCTTGCTTAGATTTTAACATTTGCTGTATCCAGGAATTAGAAGGGTCTCGGCGTGCAGCCTATACCCCTCCCCAAATTATAACATGTTGAACTTCATTATTTTCTGAAAGACTTTCTCTGGATCCAGCCCCCTAACCCGAGAAATGAGTGGTGCCCCTCTTCATCATTTTCCCACTATAGTAAAGTCTTCCCAAGTTAAGGAAACCATTGGCTAAGACCAAGAAGAGCTTTAAGTTTCAGTTTTTTGAGTTTTTGGTTACTAGCACAATCCTGTTGTCAAAGTTCTTCCTCCTTCCCCTTTCCACACCCTGAACAAAGGACATTCCTGGACAATGAATAGCCAGCAAGGATATTCTTTTTGGTGCCCCAATGGCCCTCCTGTTAACATATTAACACCAGCTATTTGTGCCTCAAAGCTCTTAGAATCATAAAGTGAGAACAGACCCAAAATAGATAAAATAAAATTCCTATGAGAATCCTCCATCAGAGACCACTAAATTCTCAAACTTGGGTCCCCAGCTATTGTTGGACTACAACTCCCATCATCCCTGGCCACTGGTCCTGCTAGCTAGGGGTGATGGGAGTTGCGTGGCGAGTTCCTGCCCCCCCCCCCAGTGGAAATAATGACACATGACACAATTATTAAGGTTAATGGGCTAAATAAGGCCACAACTTTTATTGGTTACAGGTGATGAGTGGTATTGGCTTAGGCATTGGTCCTAACTGACTATATCTGACTTCAGCCCGTCCGCTAGAAGTCCAGGAAGGGTTAACCACCAGTAGGGGGAGTCCTGCTGATGCACATCAACTAGGAACTCCCCCGGGGTCACCACTCAGGGGCGTGCCTTAGGCCCTCACCTCCCCAGGCTTCGGACAGGGCCATGCCCCACGGAATCCTTTAATGGACTACCCTTCAATATGTGGGGCAGGTGATGGCGCTTCCTCCCCTCTTCCATCTACAGAACTATACCAATGCCTAACCGCCAATACCAAGAAAGTTGTGATGATTTGCTACAAGGTAGGTGAAAACCAAGTGGCTGGTGCCAATTTGCCAAGTGGAAGAAATTCCTACCAGGCCCCTCAACAGCGACCAACCGAGGTCCATAGCAAGGTCAAGGAACGAAAGCCTTATAGGGCGGGAGGGTGGGAAAAGCAGGAACAGCTGGCGGGCAGCAAGTAGGGAGATCCCCGGCCACGTCCTGCTTCAAATAAGGCAGGCCACACCCCGGAGCCAGCCGATTGGCTGGCCAGGAGGTGACATGGCCGGGAATCCCCCCAATCACGTGGGGGCTGGGTTCCAGCCGCCGCGCGGGTGGTGGGGCTGTGAAGCCCGCAACTCCACCTCCTCCAAAGGGCAGAAGTGGCTTTGTAGTCCTTCAACAGCTGGGGACCCAGGTTTGAGAAACGCTAAACATGGTTTCCACACACAAATAGCTCAACCTGCACAAGCCAAGGGCAAATTTACTATCAAAGAAGTAGCTCCAAGATAACTCAAGTAAGTCTTATGGGCCAAGTATCCCACATTAGAAAGAAATTAGAGGATTAGATTGAGATTAAGGTAAAGGTAAAGGTACCCCTGCCCGTACGGGCCAGTCTTGACAGACTCTAGGGTTGTGCGCCCATCTCACTCAAGAGGCCGGGGGCCAGCGCTGTCCGGAGACACTTCCGGGTCACATGGCCAGCGTGACAAAGCTGCATCTGGCGAGCCAGCGCAGCACACGGAAATGCCGTTTACCTTCCCGCTAGTAAGCGGTCCCTATTTATCTACTTGCACTTTAAGGGGTGCTTTCGAACTGCTAGGTTGGCAGGCGCTGGGACCGAACAATGGGAGCGCACCCCGCTGCAGGGATTCGAACCGCCGACCATACGATCGGCAAGCCCTAGGCGCTGAGGCTTTTACCCACAGCACCACCCGCGTCCCTAGATTGAGATTACGTAAGTCCTTTTTAGTTCCCATCCCTATCAAGTAGTGGGGTTTGCAGATCTGACTAAAGCCCCTCCCCCTCAAGAAAACCCGAGCTTTTTCTCTCTCCTCTCAAGCTCTGCCATTGCTGTTCTCAAGGCCTAACTTTTAATATTTAATTTGATCCCAAAGTCAGTGGACTTTGCCCACCTGGTTGCTGCAGCTAAACAGCCCAGACAAAAGACCAGAAACTGGAAGTCCCCACCTGGAGAAGTCTTCAGGATGCTTTTGCCGTGTTCCAGAGTGGGCTAGGAAACCAACCGTTGGCAGGTAAGTACCATGGTCTGTTAACCATCTTAAACAAATAAATAAATCGTTTCCTCCCGTGTCTATGCCATCCTTCCTCCAAGGCACTCAAAGCGGACCTCCAAAGGTTCCACGTTAACCTCAAAGAGCCGTCAGGGAGGCTGTGGGAGGGAGTTGCCTTGCAGCAGTGGCGTAGCGTGGGTTGTCAGCACCCGGGGCAAGGCAAGTAATTTGCGCCCCCTAACCCGTGGATTTGCGCCCCTAACCCGTGGATTTGCGCCCCCTAACCTGTGGATTTGTCCTAACCCCAGATGTTGCGCCCGGTGCAGCCGGCACCCCCTGCACCCCCCACGCTACGCCACTGCCTTGCAGCCCCCAAGCAACTTTCATGCCTGAAAGGGGATTCGAACTCAGAACTTCATCTGAGCTCAAGGATAGCCAATCTAGAGTCCTACAGATGTTATTGCACTCTAGTTCCGATCAACCTTAGCGAGCATGTCCAATGGTAAGAGATTGATAACTTTCTTGCCCATGGTTTTTGTCTCACCCTCTTCTAAAGCCATCTACGTCTGTGGCCGCCAGTACTTTTTGCGGGAGCAAACTGGTTTTTAATCCATTTGAACATCTCTCCCCATCCTTCTCCCCTTTCCACGCACCTCCGTCAGCGCACAACCTTCCTTAATGTCTGGTTTGTTGGAATGCCTTGAATTCGCACCTTCAGCAGCTTCTTCTTAATGTACCACCAGGTGAGAGGATGCAATGATGCTGATTTGCTGACATGGACAGAAGTCCCAGCGTGAGATCACGGGCTTCCCAGCGATTGTCTAATACTTCGGAGTCTCCGGGGAGAAAACAGAATTTTGGAGCTGCACCTGTGGGAAGAAAGTCCGTTTCGGAATTAGTGGTTCAGTAAGGAGAATGCCTTTAGCGTGTGTTTTTTTAGTGAGGCTTTAATTACCTATTTCCTGGTGTTGCTTTCCCCCCTTACCTTCCTTGATAGGTAAAGTGTTATTTTGCTATACAAGCAACGCAAAGTGAAAATGAAAGGGCATCAATCACTAAAGCCCAAGAAACAGTCTCAATAAGGGGCAATTCGTCAACAACCCTCATGCCACTTCTGAACAGCAAAAAAAAAGCAGGGAAACTTTTAACTAACTGTGCAGGGGATCTCAGCTGAACATTGCTTATTTTGAATAGCATTACTGGAGAAGCTTGGCCACGGGATAAGGAATTTCTGGATAAGACAGCATGATAGTAACCAAATGCTTTGCGGAGTCTCTGTTTTAATCCCGGTTCCAGCTGACGGGGAAAACAACCTCTGAGAAGTGAAAGATAATCCACATAGCTCCCAAACTGTCCCTCCACAACCCCAAACACAGCCTCTCCCTTCCCTTTCCACTAAATTACTGGTGGTCCAGGAACAGCAACAACAAATGGCTGGAGAGAGATGGGGTTCAATTCTCTCCATTTCTCCCTTTCCCTTTGTGTTGGCTAATAGCATGCAGGGTGCAGGGACATACAGTGGTACCTTGGGTTACAGACCCTTCAGGTTACGTACGCTTCAGGTTACAGACTCCGCTAACCCAGAAATATTACCTCGGGTTAAGAACTTTGCTTCAGGATGAGAACAGAAATCGTGCTCCGGCGGCACGGCAGCAGCAGGAGGCCCCATTAGCTAAAGTGGTGCTTCAGGTTAAGAACAGTTTCAGGTTAAGAATGGACCTCCAGAACGAATTAAGTACTTAACCCGAGGTACCACTGTATGGAAGATGTAGTTCTCATAAGGCACAGGTGGGGAACCTGTGGCACTTTGGATAGGGTTACCAGACGTCCCCGTTTCCCAGGGACAGTCTCCGGATTTGCGAATAATTCCCTGGAGAAATTCCATCCCCGGAATGTCCCCGGATTTCATCTAATGTCCCTGGGAAACGCAGCAATGGCAGTCTCAGCAGCCCAGAGCAGTCGGCTCTGGCTGGCTTCAGGAGCTGCTCGGAAGTCCCCATATGATGGTGGTGCAGGGGCTCTCAGATGCAGCTTCCGGGCTGCTTCTACCTTCCCTGACTCCAGCAACTAAGCTGTGAAGGGAGGCTTCATGCTGCCTATCGGAGCAGCCTCCCAACTCCTACTTGCGTGCAAGCCGGAGGGGGCAGGGATCTCTCAGCTGTGAAGGGAGCCTTCAAGCTGCCTGTCAGAGCTTGTGTGCAAGCAGGAGGGGGCAGGGATCTCTCAGTTAGGCAACGGGAATCCTCCCTTCCCAGATGAGGGATCCCCGCCCGCTCCTGCTTGCACGCAAGTAGGAATGGGATTGGAGCTGCTCCGATGGGAAGGGAGGCATTGCACTGCCCGAGCCTTGCTGCTTCCACCCAGTCCTCCTTCTCCACTTTCCATGCCTGACCCACCACACACCGCTTCCCCACCACCACCACCAAAGAACCAACACCTCAGGGGCTGCCCAGGCTCATGGAGAAAGGAGATAGAAACCTCGGAGGAAGGGGAAACGTGGCGGTTGAGGTCAAAGTGGCGGCCGCCCCTCTGCCACCGCCATCGCTGCAGCATCAACGTCCCGAACACGTAGTGATTAATTAATTAATTAAAGTGTCCCCGGATTCATTGAAAAAAATCTGGTAACCTTAACTTTGGGTGCTGTTGGACACCAACTCCCATAAACCCTAGCCAGCGCTGGTCAGAAGTGATAGGAGATGTCACCTCCAAGTGGCCATGAGTTCCACAGGTTGGCCAGTCCTGTCCTAAGGGTGGTATGGCTGGTTCATTTTTGTTTCCCTGAGGTCTGTTTTCCTTCTTGTAGGTATCAGAATATATCAGAAAATGCTTCCACAACTGAAGAGAAGCCAAAGGTGAGCGAGAAGAGGTTTAAATTAGACTGTGAACTTCCCTGAGATCTTTGGATGAAAGGCGGTATATAAATTTAATAAATTGACCTATTCCTCCCTCACCCCAACAGCATACGAATCGATATGGCTATTTTGACCCAGCAATGTCCTCTCACACACAGACGAACCACACTGGAACCGAAACTCTGCCTCCCTCTTGACATTCTGCTTCTTTTGCAGAATATATATTTAAATAAAACTTCCTCTTCCACAAAATTCAAAGGGTGCAGGGGTTTCACTTCAGAATTTAGAAGACCTATAAAGGCAGCTTTAAAAAAAACTGTTTAAAGTTTTATTATGTTTTTCCATATGTTGGAAGCTGATGGGTGAGGTACAATAATTATTATTATTATTATTATTATTATTATTATTATTATTATTATTATTATTATTATTATTTAGGGCACTGGTATCTGAACAGAGACACCAGGTTGCCCCCAAGATTTAGGGGACCCAACACTCTTTAAACAAATATTGAGGGGACCGACGTGCCTTTGGCCCCTAGAGTTGGCACCCCTGGACCCACATATGAGTTCAGGGGGACGGATGATGTTGAAAATAAATGGGTATTGTGTTGTTGTTTTTAAATAGCTGTCCGGTTCATGAATAATCATGGCAAGGAGAGTCGTTCAAGTGTAACAGGTCACCTGACTGGAGAGTGAAGTTCGAAGCGAGAGAAGGTTAAACATTGCCGGACGAGTCTTTTGCCCCAGTGGCATGTGCTAAAATAACAGAATATATAGATATATGGTGTAGCCGGTAAGCCCGTTCTTTGTTACGGTTTCAGGTCCTAGAGAGAAGGATTCTGCAGAAGGCCTCAGCGGATGGGTCTGGCCCCGAATCAGACATCATCCAAAGCAATGACCACAGAGCCCCCAGAAGCAGATCCGCGGAGAATTTCAGCCTCCGACAAACAAAAGAAGTGAAGAACAAGAGCTGTGATTCCCAGGCTAGCATTGACTTCCGAAAAGCTGCATCCTCACCAAGCCTTGGCGGATTCCTTGCCAGAACATCTGCTGCTGACCTTCCTAGGAAAAGCCAGACCGCGTCCCGGAAAATGGCAGCCACCCACCAGCTGAGCGCTGGGTCCAAGCCTGCTTCCCTGCTCCTTTCCCAGGGAAAAAGCAGAAGAGAGGGGAAGTGTGACGTCGTCACTCACCTGCAAGAAAACAAATCGGATGGCGAGGTGGGTGCCCTTTCTTATTCCAAAGAGTGTGAGAGAGGGGCAAGAATCCTGAAAGGTACCCGGAGTCGAGTGTGGATTTCATGCTCTTTATTCAGCTCATAGTAGCGAGGGAATGAAAGTTTCCCCAAAATATCTGCTCTATATACATTGTTTACACAACAGGCCGCACGTGATTGGCTAATTCCGGGATTCTCCTGTAGGCCAATCAGGTTGCGGATTCACTTCCACCTGGAGCTGGATTGGGTGGCTCCTGCGGACCAATCATACTGTTGCATTGTTCTAGGACCAATCAGACTGCTGCATCTGAATCCTATTGTTTTAGGACCAATCAGACTGCTGCATTTTGGATCCTATTGTTCTAGGACCAATCAGACTGCTGCATTTTGGATCCTATTCAACTTAGTACATAATAAATCCTTTCTGAAATCTTGGAAAGCTACAGCCAGTTAGTGTTTACAGTAATGAGCTAGGTGGACCCAGAGGGCTAACTTATATTAAGGCAGCTTCCCAGGTCCCATTTTCAATCATAGCTCAGCTGGTAGAGCATGAGTCTCTTTAATCTCAGGGTTGTGGGTTTGAATCCCATGTTCGGTCAAAGATTCCTGCATTGAAGGGGGTTGGACTAGATGACCCACGTGGTCCCATCCAACTTCTATGATTCTGTGAATCCCTGGCCTCTTTAAATGGTTTGTCAGCCATCTTGATTCAAAATGGCGTCCAGTTGTATCCAAACGTAGATGGAGACCTGCTCCCTGATCCCACGAGCCATCGTCCAAATTGGGTTACTATGGGCGGTATTCCTAAATGTTAGACCTGTTGAAATCAACACACCTCGCTTAATGTGTTCTGTTTCTTCCTGAGGTCTTGAGACTTCAGCAAGTAACTTCACACCATGCCCATTGGCCTCATAACACACCTTGTCTTGTCACTTTGTCACCATCCAGGAAGCGCTACTCACAAGGAGAAAGAAGGCATCTCCTCTCCCTTCGACAATGCTTGCTGCAGCTGCTACCTGCACCTCAAGAAAAGTCAACAGCTGTGAGTGAACTAATCTGTTTTGGTCCCTGAGGGGATAATCCTTCCTTTTCCCAACCATGATCCGGTCAAGATTTGGCATAATGACATGTCCCCAAGCAACCGTGTCACCTCAAGAACCTTAAAAGGTAAAGGTAAAGGGACCCCTGACCATTAGGTTCAGTCGTGGCCGACTCTGGGGTTGCGGCGCTCATCTCGCTTTATTGGCTGACGGAGCCGGCGTACAGCTTCCGGGTCATGTGGCCAGCATGACTAAGCTGCTTCTGGTGAACCAGAGCAGCGCACGGAAACGCCGTTTACCTACCCGCCGGAGCGGTACCTATTTATCTACTTGCACTTTGACGTGCTTTCGAACTGCTAGGTTGGCAGGAGCAGGGACCGAGCAACGGGAGCT